CGAGTAGCTGCAGTTTTACCCCAGACCAAAGCACAAGCACAGCCCTGGGCTGGTGAGTGCCCAATGCAACGCCCATGGTCACGAGTCTTCAGGATGGTGGTAACACTGACCCACCACTGTTGCTACCTGTTGAGGCCAATGCCAAAGACCCTGGCACCACAGGATGGAGCCATTCCATGGACAGACAGACTGGGAAAGCTGGGATGCCTCCTCCCCACAGCAAATCCAGGCTCATGAGGACACCATGCAGCAGGGCAGCTTCAAGGACCAGCAAGATTTTGGCACAGCCACTTCCAGGTGCTGAGGCTCAACGGTGTGTGCCAAGAGCATGCAATGCCATGAGAAGACCATTTGGAAAGCATCTGGAATCACCCCAAACCTTCACCTCCAGCCTGATGGCTCCACAGCCCCAATACATGGTCTAAAACCTTCACCTGGAGTTTGACAACACGTTAACCACGGAGAAGTCTCCAACCAGATCCAGAGCTTACCAGCTCTCAGTAACTGTACCCCGAGGCTACTCCCTCGTTAAACACACTGATGCTCTATAAATTTCACATTCCACTCATGTACACACACCGTTACCATTCGGGACACCTACCAACACGAGCAAAACAAGGGTCAGCACACCTCCAGGCCTGGAAAGAGTAGGTTAATTTCCAGACAATGTTATTTTAAAACTTGCTAACTGCCTGCTGATTATGTTATCTGAGCCCTTAATTGGTGAATAGTTTGGTCTTGCCGTGACTTATACATGTCTCCCTCATGCTACATACAAGAAACCGTAACAGCCTTGGAGGTAAGACCAGGGTATGCAATATCAGCTGGAACAAATAGACGTATCGTGGCTTCCAGCAGGTAGGAAGAGAGCGAGTCAGGTGGTTGAGATGGAAGACATCTTGGTGGAATAAAGTGTACCCGATACAACAAAGCAAGCGACCTCCAGAAGCTGTTCACGGAGCCGAGTCCCGCGCACTGCATCACACCACGGGATCACACAATTAACAGCTGCAAGTACCTGGTGGGGAACAGCCCCTCTGATCCCAGGTGGTGATCACCGTCTCCTCTGCATCCTGGGGACCCCCTGCACAAATTCATCTCAGCAGGCATCACCCCATCTCTCCTGCTCATCTCCATGCTGCAGGTACTGCTGAAGGACCTACTGAGATATCTTGTCTTGAATGTGACCCATGCTGGCCCCTGCCCAAACACAGTACAACCCTCTGATCATCACAAGTATTCAAGTCATGAGAAAAATCAAGCAAAAAACCTCAGACCAACCAATAAAATCCTAAGGCAAGATAGCAGAAGTCAGTGGGACCACCCGAGACAACTGATAACCATCGAGATGCTTTGCAGACAGGAGAAATGTAAACAGAGATTCTTCTAGAAAAGAGCTAAAAAATCCCACTGCGGTCCTGGTGACCTCACCAGCTGGGCTTCTCAGCTAAGCTTCTCTTCCACTGGAATCTGCAACAGGTGACGCTTTTGTATTTTTAATCTACCCTCTTACCCATTTCCACCTTGTTCTTTCCGAGAATGAGATCAGACTCGAAAGAGCCATCAAGAGTTCTCAACATGGCTGAATCACCGCTCGTCTACTTCTTTAAGAGCTTCCTCTGGTTGATTGTTCAACACTCCACCCTCTTCCTCTCTAGCACGGAGACTGCATTTTTTCTTTGTTATTATTTCATGGAAATAACGTTGGGTTAAAGCACATGAGAAAAAACCAAACCAGAAGGAAACTTCCGCCCTTTACAATGAGATAACAATGACTGAGCAGTTGAATAACTTGAAGGGCACAGAAGAGCTGCAGGGCTCAGATCACTCTTCTGTCTTCCTGGTTGTCTCCTGAAAGAGTTTTGAGCTAAAATAATCATCTCTTGCCACTACGGTCCGCCTCTGAAAGCTTCATCCAAGGTTTCTGGCCCACTGCCCATGGAAGCTGGTGGTGGCAACGGGCACCAGCTCAGGAGCCATCGTCCTGACTGAACTACAACGCCGCGCTGATTCATAAACAGAGGAAGTACTTTAGCAAACTGACTTTTCCCCCTTTTCAGCACGAACCTAGTGATTAATTTAACTTATTCTTTTCCTTTGCCGTCTACTTGGCTTCGCTGGGCAAGAGTATGACAACCCAGACACAGCTCCTCTGACTTTAATGGTGAAAGGCTGGTGGAGCGGGGTTTGAAACTCAGCCCTCTTTCATGCCATCTGCTTTTAACTAACGGAGCAAGGGAGGTCCTGGGAATAAATGTCACATGGCACAGCAATCTAAAATCAGCCCTGCTCATTCGCAGGGATGCCAGTCAAAACTACGGTTATCCAACAGTCTAATTAGGAGCTATCACTAGAAGTCAAAACGATCTTTTGGAAAACCTTCTCATTTTGTCTGGGAAAATGCCTTAGTCAAAGTCGAGTGCCTTTTTTGGAAAGCCACAGCTCCCCAGTGCCGTGAAACCACACGTCAAACACCGCAGCAGCCACCATCTGCTCATCTGAGCCCTCCACAGACTGGACCTTCTAAAGCTCCAGATCTGGTGCAAGTGCCATGAGTGGGACAGAAACACTCCACGCCTTCAGCCAGGGTCTGTGCAAGATGCACGAAACTCTGTTGCTGTTCTTCCAACACTGAGAGACCTGGCTAACCCTGCCAAGATGGAAAGCAGCTCCAAAGGCGGCTTAATTAGGCCACTTCTGTCGCGAGCCCTCCAGACGATCAAATGCTCAGTCCTCCCCATTCAATTAAAGCCCTGCATGCCCCGGGCTGCCTGGCAAAGGGACAAGCAAGATAAGGCACCTGGAGTTTCACAAACTATCACTGTAAAATAATAAAGACAGAGAAAGCTCCTCGTCTGGCATTGGCGATTCCCTTTCCGTAACAGGGCTGATAACTGGGTTTTTTGGTGTTATCAGAGTCGTCTTCACGTAACCCACCTACCTCTCTCCCGCCACAAACGCTAGGACACTTGTCCGCTGGAGTAGCGTCTCCCTCGTACGCTATTTATTTCACTCCACTTTCTAATTGGATTTGTAGGGGCAGTACAATGGGGCTTTATGGCCAAACTTTGTTAAGTGCCAGGCCGAGCGGAGATGTGGCCAGCAGCCAAAATGGTGCATTTCACGCAGGCGCCAAAGGGCAGTGCCAAGCTTTCCTGCGTCTGGTATCTGTGTTCTTGGCTCTGCTTTGTTTAAGAAGCTTGGAAGCAAAACTCCTCGTAAAGAGATATTCAAATAAGCAAAAAACCCAGGATTTTGTGAGCTGCTATCAGATAAAGTCGAAAGTTGCACCTACTCCAATCTGGCAGGATCTCTAATATCTGTTCCATCGCCCACGGAGCGTAACCCACGCGGGATAAAAGCTTTTAACATACACCTTGGTTTCCTGCAAAAAATAACTCTCTTGCATTTGCAAAGCCATCCCGGTGTCTACAGCCAAGAGAGAGGCGGCTACTCACAGCTAGCAATGAAGAAGTTCTTTAAAGTTAACTTTTTCTCTTAAAAAAAACCCCAGCCCAAGCCTACTTTTGGAGGCTTCTCCTCCAAATAAAACGCGCACACATCAGATCTAATTAGATTCCATCACCATCTGCACATGAAATGTAAATCAGGAGTTGCACAGACTTAAGAAAAAAAGGGAAGAATGACCACAAGGAAAAGGAGGGGTGTAAGGTTGGGGAGGGGGTGGAGGGTTGGGCATTCTGGGAAGCCATACATGATTAGTCACACAGCATTAATCTGCCTCCCTTAACAATAGCTGCCGAATTTCGACCGAATCCCAGCTGTCGCTCTTTGAATGAAAGAAAACAAGATTTAGAGCGTCAAGCGTTGGTAAGGGCTTCTGTGCAAAAAAAAGTGGCGTGCATTCATTAGTGGCTCACAAAGGGACCCAGCCTTTGTCCATTAAATTGCTCATGTGCCTGATTGATTTGCTGATTTATTTGCACCAAAGGGTTGGGGGGCTCAGCTTGGAGAAGGGGGTGGGAGGTGCCCAACTACTGGACAGAGTAACGGCACCCAGGCGGATTTGCAAAAAAGCAACACACATTGTCAAGGGAAACTGCCATTCAACAGGTTGGGATTGGAAATGCCTTCAGGTTCCTCCGCCGAGGACTTCCTATTTGGAAATTTGGGGTGGGTGGGAACGTCTCCCCGCCTGCTCTCAGCTCAGGCCATGTTCAACAGGCAGAGGGGAAATCTGGCCGGAAAACAGAGCCTTGCCCATTCACATTTCTTTTATGGAATAGTTTTAAAAAGGGAGCTGGAGTTTTATTCATTTCTCTTGGTTATTGTTCCCTGGGAGCCTGGAGTGAATCGGCCATCTCTGCGGTGGGTCGGTTGGTCCTTCAAAGAGTACCAACGCTTTACACATCCGTTTCCCCACAACCGGCTTGGAGAAAGCTCCTGCCCTG